CTACATTCACGCCTCAAAATATCTTAAAAGTGTATTTTGTGACCCAGAAAGAGTAATATTACAACTAAGTAGCTGCCGCCATTGTTGGAGTTTTGCGAGATCTCGCAATACTTTTTGCGAGATCTCGCAATACTTTTGCGAGCGCTCGCAATACTTTTGCGAGATCTCGCAAAAGTCCGTCTTAATTTTTTTTTTCCCTCCCTAATTTTTTTTTTCCTCCCCAATTTTTTTTTCTCCCATGTCCCCTGGGGGGCTCCGTAGGTCAGAGCTTCTCAGGTTTCAAGTTAAAGGTTGTCACAGTGAGATGAAACGGATGAGTCCTCCGGGCTGGAGCTTCATTGCGCCGCCCCTCTCGGGTCTGGTTCCGGGATTTCTGTCGGAGTGAGCCCTCTGCCTGCGTTTTTCCTCTCTGGGTCTTGACGTGGCGGCCGCCATATTGTTTTGCTGTGTTGTCAGTGGAGAGCGGCGGCAGCTTCAGCAGCGGTGAGTCTCGTTTACCTGGAGCACGGACTCACCTGGGCCTGGCAGAGCTCCAACCTCAGCTGGCCTCTGTCGAGTCACCTGTGCTCGCGTCCCGTAACTGTCACCCGTGTGACGTCAGTGTCGCAGTTAGCCGTTAGCTTGAGTTAGCTGCTGTGTGATGTTGAGAAAACGGGGCTGACTTGGTGTTTGAGTCCTCGGGTTCGGCTCCAGGTGTGCCGACGCCAGCAGCTACCTGTACCACACGGCTCCTGCTGTCACACACCTGCAGGTGTCCCACAGGTAGCTGCTGACGTCAGTTTTTTTTTAAGTGTCGCAGGCGCAGCATCTCTGACCTGCTGGACTTTAAATCCTGCAAAGGATTTAAGAGCAGAGTCGGTGGGTGCCGGTGAGGTCACGTGTTTAAGAGTGGCACTGTCTTTATGATGATGATGATGATGATTCTGGGATGAAGCCTCAGATTCAGGTGTGACGTTAGAAACTCTCCCATAGTGAGACCAGAGCATCCAGCAGGACCACAGGGACCCGCAGCCCGCCCACCAGACTCTGTTCGGTTTTTGTAGGATTTTGTGTTCGGCTCGTTTTCGCGGGTCTCTGCTGGAGCAGCAGCTGGGTGTTCATTTCTCGGAGTTTCCTGCGAAGTTCGGCCTGAGCTGGACTCCATTGTGAGCATCGGGACTCGGGGCTGGTAGCTCAGTGTGCATTTTCTGCAGTTTTTACAAGAAATGAAGGCTTTCTGGAGCTTTTTAGGTTTAAGAGTGAAGTCTCACTGACCTTTGACCCCATATCAGCCTGTTTGTGTCAGCATCAACCAGACTAGGGAGAAACTTTTTTTCTGATTTTAATTCTTTCTGTTGGTTCGTTCTTATTATTGTTATTGTTGTTGTTGTTTGTGCTTTATGAAGGTTTAGCAGTGACTCGTTTTTCTGCAACGTGTTCAAAGAACATAAAATCATTTCAACGTCACCATAAAAATCCATCTCGCAGGTTCAGGCGCTGCCTGCTGTTTTTCTCTTTTAGTAACTGCTCACCTGGAGCTGTGCCTGTCTTTGGGTGTGATTTTTCTTACCTTTGAGACTCACCTGTGTTTATGTCTAGAAAGTAGAACCAGTGAGAATGTGGGTTGGGGGGACAAAATTGCTACCTGGTCGCATATAAACATGGACACCTGTTTGAGATAAACACCAGGATGACATCGCCTCTCACAGGTGTGTCAGTCTGGTGAGAGATAAAGCCTCACCTTTGAAACGGTGACGCAGGTGTTTGCACGAAAACATCACTTCAATCCGAACCAACGTAACTTTAGAAGAAAGTGAAAGGGGCTTATTCCCACGCTGCCAATATCACTGCACTACCCTCACACTGCCCACCCCCCACCCTCTCCTCCTCTCATCAGCTTATACCCAACAGTGTGACCCCCCCTCCCACTTCCTGGTGGTTTCATGACGACCTTTCCAGAGTACATCGCTCAGAATGAGGAGCGCGACGGCGTCCGTTTCAGCTGGAACGTGTGGCCGTCGAGCCGGCTGGAGGCGACCCGGATGGTGGTGCCGGTGGCGGCTCTGTTCACTCCGCTGAAGGAGAGGACCGACCTGCCCCCAATCCAGTACGAGCCGGTTCTCTGTAGTCGCGCCACCTGCCGCGCTGTACTCAACCCACTCTGGTACGCATCACAGCCTCCAACACTCACCTGTCTGCCCACCCTTTACCTGTGTGCCCCGCACTCATCTGTCTGTGTGTCTGTAACTTTCAGCCAGGTGGACTACAGAGCCAAGCTGTGGGCCTGTAACTTCTGCTACCAGAGGAACCAGGTGAGTGCCGCAAGCCCCGCCTACCTGTCAGGTGTTCCGGGTGTCACGGGTGGAGTCTGACCTTGTCTCTGTCTCAGTTTCCTCCGTCCTACGCCGGGATCTCTGAGGTGAACCAGCCTGCCGAGCTGCTGCCTCTGTTCTCCACCATCGAGTATGTGGTTCAGGTGAGTCCTGAGGACAGGTGAGACAGGTAACGACCGTGCCGTCAGGTGTGTGAGCCGCTGTGCTCTTTGTCCCCAGAGGGGCCCTCAGATGCCGCTGGTGTTCCTGTATGTGGTGGACACCTGCATGGAGGACGAGGACCTGCAGGCGCTGAAGGAGTCTCTGCAGATGTCGCTGTCTCTGCTCCCGCCCACCGCGCTCGTCGGACTCATCACCTTCGGACGCATGGTTCAGGTGCACGAGCTCGGCTGCGAGGGTATCTCCAAGAGCTACGTCTTTAGGGGGACCAAGGATCTGAACGCCAAACAGCTGCAGGTACGTCACCTGCATGTCCCTCTGGGGTGGGGCTGGGGGCTTCCCGAGCGTCAGAACTCAGGTGAGTTAACAACACCTGTGCTTCCTGTAGGAGATGCTGGGTCTCACCAAACCTTCGGCCGCTCAGGGACGAGGGCCGCAGGCGGCGCCACAGCAGTCATTCAACAGGTGAGCCTCCTGTGAGCCTAAGTGGGTGTGGTTTAAGTAAAGGTGCTGTCCTGTCACAGCAGCGGCATTCCTCACTGTGAATTTTCCTGCAGGTTTCTGCAGCCGGTGCAGAAGATTGACATGAACCTCACCGACCTGCTGGGGGAGCTGCAGCGCGACCCCTGGCCTGTGACGCAGGGCAAGAGACCGCTGCGCTCACTGGGCATTGCCATGTCCATCGCCGTGGGGCTTCTGGAGGTGAGGGGGCGGGGCTTTAGGCAGACAGAACATGGCGTGGATGTCTCAAAGACTTTGATCATCAGTTTTGTTTGTGTTCTTTTACCCACAGTGCACCTTTCCCAATACTGGCGCACGCATCATGACCTTCATAGGCGGCCCGGCGACGCAGGGGCCCGGCATGGTGGTGGGAGACGAGCTGAAGACGCCGATCAGGTCCTGGCACGACATCGAGAAGGACAACGCCAAGTTCATGAAGAAGGCCACCAAAGTGAGTGCACGCCATTTACAGACCATGTGACCCGTTTTTTTTACCTGATTATTTTCATCATTACTTTATCGTTCTTTAAGACTCTTAATGGTTGTTGTGAGCTTTGCTCTCGTTGTTCTGATCGCTGGCTCACAGCACTACGAGTCTCTGGCCAATCGAGCGTCCAGCAACGGTCACATCATCGACATCTACGCCTGTGCCCTAGATCAGACCGGCCTGCTGGAGATGAAGTGCTGCACCAACTACACCGGGTACACACACACACACACTCACTCCTGAACCCTGTCAAAGGCTGGTGGGCTGTGTAGTGCCCTCTGTGGTCGTATTCGTGCGTGACGTGTGTCTCTGTGTCGCAGCGGTTACATGGTGATGGCCGACTCCTTCAACACGTCTCTGTTCAAGCAGACCTTCCAGAGGGTTTTCACCAAAGATGTCCAGGGATCCTTTAAGATGGCCTTCGCCGCCACGCTGGAGATTAAGGTATGAAGGAAAAGCACAGAAGAACAGGGAGGCGCCGCCCCCAGCACATCTCTATCACAGGTTAATGACCCCTGCTGTGTTTTTCCCATGCAGACGTCCAGAGAGATCAAAGTGTCCGGTGCCATTGGCCCCTGCGTGTCTCTGAACGCTAAAGGACCCTGCGTCTCCGAGAACGTACGTGAAGCTAAGACAGCGCCATTAACGATGCCCCCTGCAGGCAGAGACAAAGGGGGTGTCCAAATTCATGGGCTTTTGTAGACCGATTACGTCACAGTGACGCGATGAAGGCTGTCCAAATTCGTAGACTCCTCCGAATGCAGCCGACAAATGCGTCCTCCTTTTCCCCGAATTTGAAGGATGGGTCGGGTGTGTCCTTTGTGGCCTACCATATCCCAGAATTCATAGCACGGCCCAGCCAAACTCCAGTTTTCAACAATGGCGGTCGCTACTAAGTTTTTAATATTACTCTTACTAATCTTTCTGGGTCACAAAATAAACTTTTAACATATTTTTAGGCGAGAAAGTAGCTGTGTAAACATCAAATATCTGTTCGGTTTATCAAGACATCACATATTTGCAAAAGTGCTCAGACGTTTTCGGAGACGTCTGTTACCCACCAGCTTGATAGCTAGCCGGGAGCTCGAGGGTCACTAGAGCCGCCAAGAACGGCACAACACATAATTTTCAGATCACTGCGGTCTTTTGCTACTCGGGTTAAACGTAATGTATAAGTCACTTAGACAACCTAAAAATGTTATTGTTTGGCTTTTTTCAGTGTTTTGTTTGTTCGTGAGTAAATCGGTTTGGCTGAGATTAAAGTTATTAGATTAGATTAGATAAAATAAAACTTTATTAATCCCCCGGGTGGGTTCCTCCTTGGTTTTCACACAGCTGAATAAACATCAAACAGAAAACTGATTAAACAGAAGTGTGAGACAGTCGAGAATTTACAATAGTGTCCTGTTATATTTTAGTTCAATTCAATTCAATTTTATTTATATAGCACCAAATCACAACAGCAGTCGCCTCAAGGCACTTTATATTGTACAGTAGATCCTACAATAATAGGAACAGGAAGAAAACCCAGCAATCATATGACCCCCTATGAGCAAGCACTTAGGCGACAGTGGGAAGGAAAAACTCCCTTTTAACAGGAAGAAACCGGCAGAACCAGGCTCAGGAAGGGGCGGGGCCATCTGCTGTGACCGGTTGGGGTGAGAGAAGGAAGACAGGATAAAGACATACTGTGGAAGAGAGACAGAGGTTAATAACAGATATGATTCAATGCAGAGAGATAGCAAGGAGCAGACGGCTGAGTTTATTAAACTCCACCGAGACAGCGGTGATGCTAATCTGAAGGCTAGACCGTCCAATTTCACAGCCGTTTACTTCCAGCCTACCCGACCTTCTGAGGACCCGGCCTTCGCGTTCTACATGGGCCGGGTCCTCAGGAGGATGCAGCCCATGAATTTGGACACGACCATAAAGTACACTAACACCGCCCCGTGCAGGCAGAGACAGGAAGTAC